TTCAACTTTTTCCAAATTGAACGAAACATTGGTTTCGAATTTTACAGAAACAAGTTGTCAATATTAAAATTACTTATAACCTTAGAGCAATTTCTATTTATAATGTTTATAGGTATTTTGCTTCTAGAGGAGATAAATACCAATTTATCTCTAGACTCATTTCTTTTTTTATCTTATTTCAACGAATAAACAATTTCAAATTCACATCTTTGAACTTGATAATATTGATTTGTTTGAATGTCCAAAATATAATAATCCATGTGTAATTGTTGCAAACTAAGAACTCATCCACAAAAAGTGTTTTATGTAATAGCTCAAATATACATACAAAAATCTACCTAAAAAGTCTACAAAACAAATATTATAGAAATGCTTATATTTATTTATGAAGAAATAATAGAGAAAATTGTTATTATCTATTAAAAATATAGACATTTGTTTATTTATTGGATTTTTAGCAAATACTTTATAATGGTTGTTGAGTAAGAGAATACCCAAAACATATATTTGCAAGTTATTGTAATTTTAAGTTGAAACAAAAAAAAAAACATAATAATAAAAAATAAACTATATTTGTATATAACATAATGTGTGTAAAAGAATATTTAACTGAAACAACTGAAGGTGTGTCTAGTCAACGATAATCGAATTTCTAGTTACTATTCTGTTTTTCTTTATTTCCAGACAGATATAAAATTAATTACATGTTATAGACAATATTATTTAAAGAGACATTTTAAAATTATTGTTTTGATTTCATTAAATACAAATAAATAAATTCATATTTGAAAAAAAAAAGAAATGCTTGTGTTCTTTTTATGTTGGGGTAAGTACGTTTTACGTTGGGTAAGTACTGTTTTATGGAGCAGTGGCAAAAGGAATTTGAGAATATGCAGAGAATCACTTTCGGAGTCTATTTATACATGTCCACCCGTCTATTTATTCTTTTGAACAAAGAGCAGGTCGCATTTATGATCCTAATTGGATAAAATTTGGCCTAAGGACGAACCCTTTATATTTTCGTCTGATTTTTCGTAAATAGTGTACCAAACTGCCAAGGTATGTCCGATTGAAACAAATTTTTCCCAGAGTAATGAATTGAGTACAGATGAACATATGCAAAATTTTATTGAAATTGGTTCAGACCCCATTTATATTTTCGCTAGATGTTAGGTAAGTGATGCACCAAACTCCAAAGGATTGTCCGATTGAGAATAAATTTTGCGCAACGTACTAATTTAAGTGCAAAATGGCGCATGTGAAGATTTCTCGAAATCGGTTCAGATTTAGATATAGCTGCCATATATATTTTCGTTCTATTTTATGCAAATGCTGCTCCAAAATTCTAAGTTTTGCCCCAAAATGTTTTGTCGGGCTTGCAGCAAATTGCCGATAGTTATATAATCTCATCCGATTCCATATCAATTGTCCTCCTGGTCTATTGACAAGATATTGTACATCCCTGTTTGGACCCAAAGTAGTGAAGGGTAAAGTACAGTCCTTACTGGTTATTTTTTATACCTTCCACCGTAATGTGGAGAGTATATAAAATTTTTAATCTCCGAATATTCGTTATTTAGGGATTTGTTATAGACTTTTCAGCCGAATTAACTATAATTTAGTATTCAAATATCACTACGCAAAATGATTAATTTTAATTCCCGTTTTGGAATATTCCCATAAAATGCTTAGCCTCCCTATTAGGTAATCATTTTTTTCTCACGTCTATTTTCGGAATATTCAAGGTCCAATCATAGCATGAATTTTCTCCCGGGAGCCCACATTAATTTTATATATTTTGAATGTCATCCTCAGGGTGAAGGGTATAATAGTTCGACTGGGCCGTTTTAACTTGTTATTAGATGTCCACATTTCATATGTATAATGGTAGTTCGCATGTTGAGGTTTTTGTAATTTTATAGTCACATGTTCAAAACGAATTGACAACATCATGAGACTCTATGTTATAATAAATGTTTTGTGTGCGTTTTTCAACCAAATTGCCTGTAATTTGGTACTTTGGATTTCCATTGGGTAGAAAATCTTCGTATCAAAACCTACAAATATTAAATTTTGGTAGACCTCATATAATCTGGTCCGTCAGTATTCGGAATGTTGCGGAATTCAGTTACATTTTTCAACCGAAGTTTAATTCTAAGAAATGAAATATTAGAAAATTTGATTTGCAATAAGTCTTGTGGACTTGTTTGCAGAAACGTGACTATTAAATTTTGTATAAAACCTGAACGCCATTTTAGTTACTTCACCGCCGTATCGTAATCAACGTCCCCGAATAAGTTTCTGAGTCCATTTATATATGACCGGCCGTGTGTCTGTCTGTTAGGCACATCTGATTTATTTGGCGCAATATATAGATACTGGGGAAGTGTCCGCTACTTGCAGAAGGGAATACCAAGCATATAATTAATATTTTACCTCTATTCCTACATCTAATATCAAGTTTATTACCATTTAGTACTCTTCATACACATAAGCACGAATTTGCGAAATCTTATTCTTATTTACCTTATACAGATTCAAACGTGATCAGAATTCCAATTATATATTTTATCAAATACCTACAGGTTCCAAATTTAGTTCCATTCAGCACTTTTGGAACACATAAGTACAGAGTTTCAAGACTACCTCCAGATATCATCGTATTTCTGATTTCACTAAATCTAAAAGTAATGATAAATCCACCAAAGTAAAAATTGTACCAATCTTAGTACTTTTCGAACTCATAAATACGAATTTCTAAAAATACATTAATCCTCCTTTCAACCAGTAATCGTAAGTCTAAATTTAATAATGTTACCAGATTTTTCCAAAACTATCTTCCTACACCTCAACATTAATCTTAGTTGCAGTTTTCAGGTTTTCTTACAGTAATAATTTATATTTGACCAAATTTAGTACCATTTAGTACACCTATTTACGAATTTCCTTCACTCCAACAGTTATTTTAATTCTAAATTTCGGGATTCCAGCACCATCTGTTCACCAAATTTTATTAAATGTAGAACTTACACTTTTCGTACCAATAATTACGAACCAATTTCAAGAGTCCAGCTTTATCCTAGGTAAACGCAAATTGTACCAAATTTAGTACCATTTATTACTTTTCGTACAAATATGTGTGAATTTCTAAAGCCATTTCCATACTTCAACACCACTTCCCAACATGTATCTCTATATATAACAAGTGAAAAAGCGTTAAGTTCGGCCGAACCGAACTTTGGATACCCTCCACCATAGATATACTGACAGGTACTTGAAATAAAAATATAGGGAAAATACCAACAAGTGGCTAATGAGGGTGTATAACTTTGACACGGTGAAAATGTGCATCACCGAAATATTGGTTCTAAACCCCATGTTTCTTTGGACAAAATCCCTTTCAGAAAATTGTGATTTCATCTAAATTTTGCCCATCTTATTATTTTTTCCAAACTTACTTCAAGTTCGAAGGTGGGGAATATCGGTCTACTCCTTCTGGTACCTCCCACACAGGGACTAAATGGGGGTTATAGTTCATTATCGAACCTTACATCCTAAATTTTTATCTCGCTATCCTCCGCAGGTGAAATGATTACAACAGAGTCTTAGAACCAAACTCAAAACGCGGAACAAATCAGATAACTATTTTAATATACAAAATGGGGTTATATGGGGACTACCCCTAAAAAGGGGTGAATATTAATAATTTTTAATGGGGAGATTTGTTACCATATACGAATACGAAATACCAAATTTCAGCGAATTCGGTTAAAAAACGCGCTCAAGAACCCTAAAATACCGAAATTTGGCGGGTACCCTTATATGGGAGCTATGCCTAAACGTGGACCGATATATCCCATCTTCGAACTTGACCTGCCTGCAGACAAAAGACGACTCTATGCAAAATTTTCGCGATCTATATCAATTCGTTTAGACGCTAGAGTGATTACAACTGACAGACGGACATGGCTATATCGTCATAGAATTTTACGCTGATCAAGAATAAATATACTTTATAGGGTTGGAAATGATTATTTCGATGAGTTACAAACGGAAAAACAAAATTATTATACCCTCCATACTATGGTGGAGGGTATAAAAATTACATGTATGTTCGTGATCGCTAAACTCAAAAACTACTGGGACCAATTTGTATTTACATGCTCTATGGGGCGTGAGGAGTGTTTCTGTGTAGTTTGTATTTCATCCGACAGATGGCGAAATATTTAGTTTTTTTGTGGTTTTTCACCAAAATTCAAGAACTTATCAAATTATCCAAATCCAAATTTCAGAATTCTAGTTCTTCGCGTTCACCTAATACAAAGGGTACCATATTTGGTACATTTTAGTACTTTTCGTACCCGTTTAGTACGAATTTTCAAAAACCAGCCTTATCTCACGCCTACACACCAACAACAACCCACACTCAAAATTTCAAGCATCTAGCTTCAGCCGTTTTGTCTGGGCGAAGATCGGTCACTCACTCACTTGCCATATATATTTTCGTCAAATAAGGCGATGATGTCCATTTGGTACAGTGTTGAACAGAACTAAATTGAGAGTAAGTGTGTGAGACTGACGAAAAGAATAAAAAAGAGAATACGTGTTCAGTCATCACCGCAATCGTACTATTTTGTGCATTAGTGATTTGGCACGAAATCTTGGATAACGGACTGAATTGAGACTGGAAAGGCGTGTATTGTATTGATGGCGATTTGTCAAGGAGTGTTGAATTGACTGTAATTTGGTATTCAGTAGTACTGCGATTTCATTTATTTAAATATTTAATCATTTCCCAAAATAATACCCAATTTTATCTATCAAAAAAAAAAAATGCAAGTGATAAATATAAAAGAAAAAAATCATCAACAACTTTATATCGTTCTACATTTTAATACAAATCAATCTGAATACGAAGAGAACACACAATTTTCGAAATTTATTTAATAAATCTACACATGTGTAAAAAAAGCTGCATTAATTTTTGACGATTTTTGGGTTTTATATTTTACGCGCTCTACGACAAAGGCAATAATAACCCAGCACATGAAAGCCAAAGTAAATTCCAACCATTGCCAACAGATTAACGTAAAGGTTTTTCTCGTCAAAGCTGTATTTGTTCAGGACATCAGTGCCGGTATGGAAACAGGGCAGATTCTCGCTTTCCTCGAAACAGGCTGAAATGAAATGAAACAACCCGTTTGCAAGGTCACCGATTAATGAATATTTATCAAAAAGTGTAGAGGTTAAACATATCAAAAGGTTTGCAGATGCAGGTGCCGCCATGAAAGCTTAAAATAGCACAAGGCTAAGTGTGTATGTAAGAGAATATATTTGAAGTTTGTACATATAGTTGAAAGTGTTTAATGAACGTTTTGTTTTTTTTCTTTTTTTTGGAAAAGTGAAATGGTTTTTTTGGGCTATTAATATTGCACACTTGACTAGACTTACTTATATTTTGTATACCCGACCATTGTGCTATGGTCATTGCCTCATTTGCATACAGCATCCAAGAGAGAAATTGTGTCCAATAAAATGCCCAAGGCAAGGTGCTGCAATAAACAAACAAAAAAAAATCATAATAAATTCACATACACATATACATTACAAGGACAAAGGGTTAACTTTCATATTATTAAATTTGTCATATTATGTATGTCATGTACATACATAACATGATACATTTAATATAATGTACGATTATATTTAATATAATGTACCAGTATGATAAAGTACATGGAGTAAGGAGTGAGAAAATGAATTTATATCAGGTTAAACGTATTACAATATTAAAATTTGTTCTGTATATAATCTGCAGAAGGACTATAATGCTTTATAGTCCTTCTGTTGAGACATGTAGATGTAGCTACTAGAAATAAATCCATATAATTTTCAATTTGTCTGAAATTTCAATAAAATTTAATAAATTGTTATAGAGTTGTGAAAAATTATGGAGAAAGATTTTATTCGAATATTGAACAATTATTGCAAGTAAAGGGATAACATTAAAAATGATTAATTTCCAAAAATATGTGTCTTTATTCGATATAAGCGATATAAAAACCTAAAATTGGATGGAACTTTTTTATCAACCAGGATGAAATTACCACATACGAAATCCTTTAAGAAAATCTTCCAAATGAATGACTATTTTAATTGATCTAGGGACACGTTAAGGTTTGAAACCGTAGATATGAACAAGTAGTGGACATGCAGACGTTTGGTGCCTATCTATTAAAAGATGGGACTTATGGACCCATTCTTTCTTTCTTCTTTAAAAACTTGTATATCTCATATAATGCGAACACAATATCCGATTTCATCAAAGTGCTTTGTTAAAATTTTTGAGGCAATATGAAATCGGACGAAACTATATATGGGAGCTATATATAAATCTGAACCGATCTCAAAAAACTTGACACTAAGTTGTGCAAAACTTTTTGTCAATCAGCGTAACATGGGATCATTGGTGCCCCATTTACATAAAATCGGACGAAAATATATATGGGAGTTATATTTAACTCTGAACCGATTTTAACAAATTTTCGCATACGTTAATTTAGACATAATTCAGTACACAAAAAATTTGGTGTCAATCTAACTTTGGGTCTTTCGTGCAACACTTACTTAAAATCGGACGAAAATATATATGGGACCTATATCTAAATCTGAACCGATTTTTCCCAATTTCAATAGGGTTCGTCCTTGGCCCAAATAAATGAGCTGTGCCAAATTTCTTCCAAATCGGATGATACATGCGACCTGTACTTTGTTTACAATTTAACATGGACAGATGGACGACCGGACATGCATAAATCGATTCAGAAAGTGATTCTATGCACATTCTGTGCAAATTCTCTTACAAACATATGCACAAAGACACAAAACCCTGTACCTCAGTGTGGTGAAGGGTATAATTACATCTCTTATAAAGCGAATTAATTATAAAATTTCATCCGAACTTTTCTCATCGTTATATGTATACCTTACCTAGATTATGTTCGAAGATGAAACTCGTTGATCTACTCCTTCTGATACTTTCTAAAGATTGTCAGCATTTTTTAATTTGTTAATCCAATATTCATATGAAAATTGTAATATTTTAGTTAGAGGTTAGAGGTCAATAACTGTTCCTTCATATCCTATCGTATTTTCCCGTTGTGAACATTTACGGTTCATTTGATCTCTTTCCTCGTTGGTCAGATATCTTTCCTCGTGAAAAATTTATGATGTTCGGCTTATTATTGTAACCACTAGACAGACATCCCGCAAATATTAGGTTGGGGGAAAAATAAATCCATTATTTTTTCGGCAGATGACTGTACTGATAGATTTCTCGTAAAATATCAATCAAACAAAAATTCAGTACATTTTACAGTGTTTCTTTGACAAAGACGAAAATGCAAGCCAAGCGGCTAATATTTTGAATGGTGTTTATGGTTCCGATACTGTAACAGCCAATATGTACTGTAACAGCCAATTCGTAGATTCCATTCAGGAATCTTTCATATTAAAGATGCAACTCCTAATATCATCTGATCACTACCAAAAACAATCGATGTTGTACTTGGCCCTAACTGGAACTTCATTTTAAATGTCATAGTGATCAGAGTTACTAAATAATAAGAATAAGTATACACCTTTAAATATTTAATTATAACTCCCAAATAAATACATACATAAATACATCACTATAATTGGCATTAATTTCAAGGTCAACCACTCCTCTTCGTTATACTCCGGCCTATGTCATTTAGTAGTAAATATATACGTCATAAAAGAAATATTTTGTAATTTTTCCCACAAAAGCCTGGGTCCATTTGAAACCAATTATCAAAAATAAATATTAACCAATTATCAAAAAAGTGCCATGCTTATTCCATGGTCAGACCCCTTTCACCGAAACAATTTCGTGATGTTTGAGTAGTTATTGTGGCCTCTAGGGCGATCAGAACGACAGACAAAAATAAAGCTTTTGTACCATTTCATTCCCTAAATATTAACTGATCTTTTTTGGACACAACCGTCCTACATGCAAAATTTATTGGCGATTGGTCTATAACTGTACTGTGTTTACAAATTCTAACGGACAGATGGATCCACATCCTAGATCAACTCAGCTAGTCGAGATATGACGATCGCTATACTAAAAGGTGGGTCTATCGCCAATATTTCGCGGAGTTACAAAATCGTGGGGCCACACTATACCCTTAAAACATAGTTGTGTAGTTGTGGTATACAAATACCTTTACTTTTGAAAAATCGAAATCCATAATCCACTACCTAGGCATGAGCCGAACGATAAGCCAAAATCATCAGCAACCTCTCTGATAGTGATTCGATGATTGTCCAAAATCATTTTCTTCATTTCCCCAATGTTTTCATCGGTTGTTGACGAGCTTCGGCTACCAGAACGAGCACCGTCATTGACATTTCCTCGATAATAGAAAATGTGTTCTGCTCATGGTACACTCGCCAAGCACTGCTGCCAACATTTCAAATGGCCTTGCCTATTTATTTTTTTAACAAAACTTAATACAGATTCTTTGTGATCTTTTTTATTCTAAATATGAACCAATTGTACAATCGGAGTAGTATTCAGCGCAATTGGAACATAATTGTGACCTTTTAAAAATACGCTAACACACAGACAGATGGGCGCACATTCATAAAACGACTTATACAGTGATTCTATTCTCAGTTCTGTTCTATGCATGCCCTCAAAAGTAACCATGGCCCTACCGCTTTTCCTTTTCAACGTTACAAACAAAGGTACTCATACATAATATCCTGTTCAACAGTGTGGTGTGGTGAAAGCACTTTAACATGTGAATGATATTTCCATTTTCACACAAAATTATACTCCCTCAAATCACAACCCACAAATACCATACCATACCAGGGACAATGTCGATTTCACACATACCTTATTTGAATGAAAATGCCAGATGTTATCATTATGATGTAATCGATTGGAACCAAATATGCCATGGCAAATGGCAATGAATTAAATGCTGTCGAAAAGAAGCAACCACATGCCGTGGCAACATTCATCACCAGGATAACAGAAATGGCCGTTATCAAGAATGCAAAAAATGTTGGACGCAAACCGGCCACAAAATAGCAAATTACCACAAACAGAAGTGGTTCCAGAATCATGCCGGGTAACTAAAAAAAACAGAAAACAAAGCAAAAAATAAAATCACTTTATGTAAAATGGCCGCCCAACTTAACAATCATACTCACCATGGCCCCTATTGTGGCTATGTAATATTCTGCCGTTGAATATAGGCCAGCTCGTTTCTCTCGCATAAACAATGGAAAACCTTGTGGAAAAACATTTAGCACCGTATACATGGGATGAAAAGTATTTTCCGAAATCATGACAAAAAGCGCTCCCTGCACGGCCTGCACACCCATTTGATCCAGTTGTGTGGTGCCAGCAAAACATAGGCCAATTATAATGGCCATGGCCATTTTCTGCAAAAATCTCATCCATTGCAGTTTTGGATCTCTTAGCAAGCTGAGGGTATATCTGTACCAGATAACTAGAATTTTCTTATACCATAATGCCGATCGGAAATTATCAACCTCTGTATCGAATGGATATTCACCCGTCTCGGCCATGTGTATCTCCAAATTCACCAACATATCCCTTTGTTTGGCCGCCGAACTCACCGCGAATAAATCACACATGTATTGAGCCGATCTCTGTGAAGCTTGTTCATAGCCGGGATCTGTGGCCAAAACACCAATAAGAAAATCTGCCGGATTATATGCCTCCGGGCAGGTATAGCCATTTTCGGCAAAGAAATCCAATGCATTTTGCGGTGACCCGGTAAAAGCCACTCTACCATCGGCTAGCAAGAGAACATTGTTGAACATATCGAAAAGCTGTGATGAGGGCTGATGTATGGTGCAAAGAATGGTGGTTCCTTTTTTAGCTAAATCATATAAAGTTTGTACCAATTGTTGAGCACTATAGGAATCAAGGCCGGTGGTGGGTTCATCACAAAATAAAATAACTGGATTATTGAGCAACTCCACAGCAAAGGCCAGACGTTTGCGTTCTCCACCGGATAAGACTTTTTCATCATCTCCGGAACCAATTCGTGAATTTGCGGCACCCATAAGGCCAGTTCGCTCCAATAGATCTTGTATAATCATTTTGCGTTCTTGTTTGCTGACACGGCGATCTAAACGTAAATGTGCCTAAAAGTATGCAAAACATTATTAGAGATAATTATATAATAGTTACAGTATGTTGGGAACGCAATAGAAAGTATTCTTCAAAATTAACGCACTGTAATTGCGAATTTTGGGATTATAATTATAGATGGTTTACTCATGATTGTATTTAATGTGCATTTTGATTGCTATTTATAGCGGACAGGCTTGAGGGCGGACACACATAACTAGACCGTTTCAGCTAGTCATAGCATCACATACTCTTGGGCAACACAACGCATAACTTCGATATGAGTACGCATAACTTCGAAATCTGAACCGATTTTCCCGCTTGCCAAATTTCGAGCAAATCGAAAGATTTATAGGGAATATGGGATATAATTAGACCTCGGATTTTTCATATTTTTTAATAATGAAGATATCGAAATTCTGATTGGACACAAATTCGTTTCAAAGGATATAAAATTATTTAAAGGGTTCATATTTTTTAATTTTTTGCATATTTGCATATAATGCATATGCACGAGATATGCAAAAAATATGCAAAAATAACCAAATTTGCAAAACAATATGCACGGTATGCTAAGTCGATATGCAATAAATATGCACGGTATGCTAAATATATGCAAAAATATGTAAAATATGCAAAATAAGCAAAAATATGCAAAAATATGCAAAATAAGCAAAAATATGCAAAATATGAAAAAATATGCAAAATATATGCAAAATATGCAAAGTATGCAAAATATGCAAAAATATTCAAAATATGAAAAAATATCCAAAATATATGCAAAATATGCAAAAATATGGAAAAATATGCAAAATATAGCCAAAAATATGCAGAATATGCAAAATATGCAAAATTTGCAAAAATATGCAAAATATATTCAAAATATGCAAAAATATGCAAAATATAGGCAAAAATATGCAAAATATGTACAAAATGAGCAACAAATTTCACATATGCAATCATTTTAATCATGGTAATTTTTTTTAAATTTTTATAAAATACGCCTCGAATTTGTGTGCTGTCATTATTTTTAAGCTATAGAAATCAAATTTTGTATGTATGCGTTTCATGGTTCAACTGTTAGATATTTGGGGCATTATGAAAAATTTGCTAAATATATGTATAAAACATGCAAACGTATATGAACAGTTATATGGGGATATACTAAAACGTGGACCGATATATCCCATTTCATTTAATAATATATGTGTAAAATTTCAAAGTTCTATCTTTAATATTGCGACCTAGCATACTGTGCATATTTTTGCCTATATTTTGCATATTTATCGCATATCGACCTTGCATATTTTTGCATATTTAGCATATTTTTGCATATTCTGCATAGTTTTGCCTATATTTTGCATATTTTGTATATTTTTGCATATTCTGCATATTTTTGCAAATTTTGCATATTCTGCATATTTTTGCCTATATTTTGCATATTCTGTATATTTTGCATATTTGCAGATTTTGTAAATTTTTGCATATTTTTCCCTATATTTTGCATATATTTTGCATATTTACCGCAAATCGACCTTGCATATTTTGCAAATTTTGCATATTTTATGCATATATTTTGCATATTTTTAACATGACTCGAAATATCGATCAAATAAAGCATGAAACGCCTAAATACAAAATTTGAGTCCAATCGGATAAAGCATAAAAATATGCAAAAATCCGAGGTCTAGTTACAATTTACATAAAATCGGACGAAAATATATATAAAGCTATTCGAAATCTGAACCGATTTTCACGAAATTTAACACACATTGTTCTAGACTTAATTCAGTACGCTGTGCCAAATTTCGTGCAAATCGAAGGATATAAAGGGACTTTGGTGCACTATTTACCTAAAATCGGACGAAAATATATTTGGGAGCTATATCTAAATCTGAACCAATTTCCACAAACTTAATACGCTCTAGACGTAATTTAGTACGCTGTGCCAAATTTCATGCAAATCGAATGATATATATGTACTTTGGTGCACCATTTACCTTAAGTTGGACTAAAATATATATGGGACCTATATCTAAATCTGAACCGATTTTTACCAATTTCAATATGGTTTGTCCTTGGCTCAAATAAATGAGCTGTCCCCAATTTCATCCAATTCGAATCAAAATGCGATATGTACTTTGTTTACAATTTAATATGGACAGACGGACGGGCATGCGTAAATCGACTTAAAAAGTGAATCTATGCATATTCTCAAAAGGAACCAAAAGGAACTATATCGTTTCCTTTTGCATGTTACAAACATATACACAAAGACATAATACCTTGTACCACAGTGTGGTGAAGGGTATAATAATACAGATACCATTCTGGTATTACATGTCAATAGGGCAGATTTGGATTCTTTTTTGTACCCTTTGTATGAAATCTAGCATAATTATGTATGGGAAATATTCACAAAAATGATTCTTATTTACTATAAAAATTATTACCATATTTGCATGGCAAAATAATTGAAACCAAATATAGTCCTATAAAATACAGCCATTAAGAATTTGGACCTTGGAGGTACCTACGGTTCTCCAATAATTTTTTTTTATTATACTACTTTCAGAAAATAACCTGTATATACAAATGGAACTACTCGACTTCGAAGAGCTTCAATGAAGAAATCCAGCTTCATCCATTATATTTATTGTGAGCCAATTTGACACATATAAATGTTTAAAGTTATGTTATAAGTTAACTTTTAGGGGGTCCCCTAACCCTCATACTAGGAGGACATTCTGGACTTGTTCAATTAACTATTTTAATAAAAAGGGTAGTTGTATGGGGACTACCCTAAAACGGGGCGACTACAAAACACCAAATTACAGCGGTTCGGTTGGAAACGCGCTTAAACCCCTAAAAATACCGAAAATTCGGGGGTACCGTTTTATTGGGGCTACCAGAAAAAGTGGACCTATATATATAATTTTTATTAAAGAGTTTTGGTTCCCAATAAAAACGCAAATTGCCAAATTACAGCTAATTCGGTTGAAAAATGCACTCGAAGAAGCCTAAATACGGAAATTTGGGGGTATCTTTACCAGAAAAAAGACCTATATTTATAATTTTTAGTGGATTTTGCGGATTATTTGGTACCCAATAAGAACACAATGTACTAAATTTTAGCGAATTCGGTCATTCATTCATTTTCGGTATTTTGGGGTTCTAAGCATGTGTTAGAACCCCAAAATACCGAAAATTGGAAGGCACCGAAAATTGGAAAGGGCTACCAGAAAAAGTGGACCGATACATATAATTTTTTGTGGACAAATTTGATACCCAATAAGAAATCCTTGTACCAGTTTTTGGCAAATTCGGTTGAAAAGCGCGCTCAATAACACCAAAATATAGAAAATTGGGGTGTAACCTTATATGGGGGCTATACCTAAACGTGCAGACAAAAGACTCAACAACGATTTACGGAAAGGATCTATATTTACCATTTTAATAGTTTTAAACCCTTTGGGGATTTACCTGAAGGAGTGGACCATGCAGCATATCGGTCCACTATTCATTAGGACATGATCTAGATTTGGTAAAAATATTACATTGTGCTAAGTTGAGTTCAAATCGAATACTCAATAAGCTGCGTATTATAAATACACATATTCAAAAACTTTGAACCTTTATGGGACAGGTACTAAAAGGAATCGGTCTAAAAATCCCATTTTCAGATTCAGATTATTTTTTGTGATATGTCTTTGCATGTCTTCAGTCAAATCGAATGAGGAATATTTTTCTACCCTTCACCACACTGTGGTGATTTGCACGAATTTTGGCGTAACGTACTGAATTGAGCCTAGAATGATATATGCCAAGTTTCGTAAAAATCCATCCAGATTTAGATATAGCTTCTATATCTACTTTCGTCCAATTTCATGTAAATGGTGCTCCAAATTCCCTATATATCCTTCGATTTGTGCGAAATTTTGCATAACGTACTGAATTTAGTCCAGAATGATGTGTGCCAAGTTTCGTAAAAATCGTTTGAGATTTAGATATAGCTCCCTTATATATTTTCGATTGATTTTAAGTAATTAACACACCGAGGAACTAATAGGCTGATATGAACGAAACGTACTGAAATTAGTATAACCTTACCCGTGACAAGTTTCGTTGAAATCGCTTCATATTTGGATATAGCTTCCATATATATTTTCGCAAGATTTTAAGTAAATATTGCATCAAACTCCTCATGTTTGACAGATTGACATGAAATTTTGCACAAAGTACAAAATTGAGCATAGCATAACGTAGTTGCGCACGTATACTAAAAATACTTGAGTATTATGACAAAGAATATACAAAATCATCCTCAAACGCGTTACAATATATTCGATGGTCTTACAATATATTTTTTGATTCCTTCTCCATTTACAAGTACTTACCATAAAATTCATATGCTCCATCACGGTTAAGTAACCATTGAAAAGATCATCCTGATAAACAAAACCGCTAATACGATGCATAAATGGACCAATTCGTCGACCATTGATAAGAATATCGCCTTGAACTACCGTACCAGCTGAAAAGATTTATTGGATGTGAAAGTTGCCATCATCATTATAGCGAAATGTTACTATTTTTCGAGTTTTGTTTTTTATGCCTTTTTAATTATCCCGTTATCTTATCTCAAGCGATAGAATAGAATAGTCGTGAGTTTATTTACCTGGTTGACGATATGCAAGCACAGACATCAGTGTTGTTTTACCCGAACCACTGAAAATCATAATAAAATAAAGAAATGCTTAAATACATATAGAGACATACATATAATATTCAATTCAGTTTAGTGCATCTTTCCCAAAACATACATATATATGAATATATACATACGAGTATGTGCATACGTATAACATAATCTTGTGAAATGGGTATTATTTTTATCTTCTTATCTACATGTACATCAAATACCTTTGTATGGGTATGGTAATAATTTTTTTATTTATGTTTTCATTTTCATCACCAAAATTTAGACTTTGATAATGTGGATATAAACACCCACCAAAGAAAGAACATAAACTTTATCTGTGTCTCTTTATGTTTCCTTAGTTAAATAATTAGAATTTTCATACGACAAATAAATGTTATTTAAACATTAAAAAGTATTTATATTAGATGTTAATATTGTTATATTGTTGGAAGATTGCACGTCAGCTATAACCAAAATTAAGTATGTGGCGGAGATATATTTTTGAATGGTTTTACATAGAATATTAAAAGGTGCGAATATAGATCCGTGACTTTTTATTAAAAGTTACTTAATCTGTGTATCTCTTTATAAAAGAAGAATTCTTTTGTAGTCCTTAATTATAGACTATAACCTTACTCATGCTAGTTTGCCGTATCAACTCGCTGCAGTATATAGTAAATACGGAATATATTTTCCAACTGAATTGACTGTTCTCATTGACATCTCTCTACCAAAAAGAGTCAACACTGACCCCTATATCTATGACATAATTATACAAGGTAGTCCCGTGCAGTCATATTTCTAATTATACCCTACACAACTATATTGTCAGGGTATTATATCATTGTGCAGCCCCATGAGTTTGTAACGCCGCGAAATATTGGTCTAGACCCAACTTTAAGTATCGAGTAGCTGAGTCGATCTCTACATGTGTGTCCGTCCGTCCGGACAACGGACAACGTTTATAATTTTCGGCGGTGATCAGATAATAATATTGGGATGAAGTGGACCGAAAACGTATTTTTTGAGTCGATTTTTAGGTCACAAATGAAAGCCGAACATCACAACACAACCCATGGTGAAGGGAATCCGGAAAAGTAATTAGAAGAGCTGTACTGAATATTAGTAACATTTTTTTACCTCTAGTCGGTCAAAATGGTGCAAATATCATGAAATATTGCCCAATATCAGGAAACCGTTCGCGATCAAATTTTTGGTTGATGCGCGCAAAAGTTATCGAGGTTTTAATTTTGGGCATAAGAAAAAATCTTAAAATTACGCCGTTTATTATATTGACCAAAAACGTTGATATATATCTTCCTCCGTAAGATAAGAATATAAATATATTATAATAATCGCGATAAAGTTGCACATGTTCGAGAAATATGAGAAAAATAAAAAATATATAGCAGATTACATCAATATTTTCAATATATTAATGACATACACACACCTAAAAAATAATTTAAAAATATCTGCATAATCTAAACACGATGGTGAATCAAATGATATCAAAATCACACAAGTCCGTGTAGCGGTTTCTAAATCAAAGCGACAACAAAACAAGATATTGAGGAAAAATATTTGTTTTTGGTTCGAAAAAATTATGTCATCATATTTATTTTTTTAATTGTATACAAGAAATTTCAGAAAAAAATGTTGGGGTTATTCTGCTATTTTACCCGAATTTCGACGAAAAATTGACATATATAATAATAATCACTTTTTGTGTATAAGTATACGCTTTGCGGATTATATGAAGACCCTTCCGATAAATCTTAGAATGCTATAAATAGGAATAAATCCTAAAATAAAATAATATTATGAAATATACATTTTAAATTGCGTGTAAATCGCGTAATTCTCAAAATCATTTGATGCGCATGCGGTTTCCAGGAAGTACTGAAGTTTATCTTCCAATCCATATATATTTTGCGAAATTTCATTTGACGGCTAAGATGTGCCGCACGTTACATTGAAGTACCCAAAAAATCGTAAAACGCGAATAATTTCCGAAAAATCTAAATGCCATTAACACGCATCCGATTTCGGTGTGCACCCTAAAAAATACATCGATCTATACCATTTCAATGTGGTCCATTAAGAACCATGGATGTGCCAGCACAATCTATTTTTCAGATAAATTGCGTACATCTCTCTTTCGGCTGAAGTTTTTAAAGTTCTCTTTTCGAAAATGTCTAAATCCGTATGAGGTCATTTATTGAAGCGGAAATGATACACAGAAAACGCAAATAAATCCACCAAATTTCGTGTTTTTGAAAGGCCAGTTCCCGCCGTTGTAGTAGATGGATTTTCACGAAGAAGATTTTATATCATCCGAAACGTAAAAAACCTTATTGATCGCGGGTACCCATATCATTCAGTTGACAGATCTAAAAATTTGGCCCGAAAAAAAGGTTTTTTAGAAATTTGATCGCACAAAATTCGCACCTTCGGATGAGTATTACTCTGAAGCTATGCATACTACATACACAAAGTACATATCAAATTACACAGATTCGCGACTACAATAATCATATAATCGAATTTTATAAATTCCTGTTTGCATATTAAAGCTAGAAGTAAAATTAAAAAAGCACTCAAAATCGAGCTTCAAAATGTCAGCATCATTTAAAGGTAGATGCAGTTAAAATGTTGAAAAATGATACATAAGGGGCGTAGTCCTCATTTTGTTGGCTTCTAGTTTTATTTTGACACGAAGACCGTGCAATGAGTGTCTTAGTCACAAATCGATAGAGAACATAAAAAAACTGGTTCGCCTCAAACTGCTTTTACACATTTTTTTACATTAAAGTAGACACAGCTTCCACCAAAATAAAGTTTGGAGGTCAATATCATGAACAGTTTGCAACGACAGATCAATTAACCCAAAACTATTCACTTTTTTCATATACTTAAGTAGTTCCCGAGTTATAAAGGGGTGAACCTCCGCTTCAGCTATGTTAAAAAATTTGCAATATTGCCCATATATATTTTCTTCAATGAACTAGACAGTCAAACTAGTCTTCTAGCTTGGTTTGGAAACTGTGTCACAATGCACATTGTTCAGTGATTTGTGCATATTCTTGTGCCTATGCTCATATTTCTTGTCAAACATTGCAACAATGTTAATATATAAAAAAATATATGTATATATGGGAAATTACAAAAATCTTTTAAATTCCTTGAAGCTGAGGTTTGCAAGGTTATAACTCGCGAAATATGAATTATATGCAATATTAATTTAAATTCATTTCTATAAAATGAAGTGTTCTTGTCAAAATCTTAAAATATTGGTAATAATGATGTGGTAATGTGATGGTGGTAATGTAAATAAATGGGTGAAAATGTGTTGAAGCCAACGAGTTTTTTGTGTTCCTTCTTGATTTGTGGCTAAACTACTCAACGCACGCACATGTGATCAGTGACTAAGTTGCAGAATACCCCATGGACAATATGGTTCTAATGTATGATTTTTCGATATAATCACTGCATCCACCCAAAAAGCATGCTGACAATTTGAAGCCGGATTTTCGATGTTTTTTGAATTTTTTTTATAATTAGGATGCGCATCCAGATAATGGACTAAACTAATTATAGGATTGTAGAACTCGTGATTCTGCTTCGTTTAGTGTATATCTCATGAATGTGCTCACTGTAGCTTCTTTGGAATTGGGTTCCAAAGACGAAAATTTGGTGCGTAAATTTTTATAAAAAACATATTTTTTGAGTCTAAAATTAAGAAAGTCCATTCAAATTCCGTGGAGCCCCGCGTGATTTTAGTTTTTTTACGTGCCGGATCTAATGAGCCCATCCATGTTCAATTCCGTCCAATAAAACGGCGGATATGGGTTCCTTGAATGTGGGAAAAACTGCAAAAACTTATTTTGACAAATTCGCGTAAATAATCGCGGTTTTCTTCGAATTAATTTTACATGCATTTATGCTTGTATTGTCAAATTCGCGAATCTGTGTGGAAATAGGTCAAAAATACATCGATACGCGAATAATATGCGTATTTTATCCAAAATTGATTGTGGAGGCACATCCGCGGTTCTTAACCGATCCTTTTAAAATAGGTGTCCTTTTGTGTATTTTCATAGGAGATTACTGAAATCGGATGCGCATAAAAATCGTACGCACGTTGCGTGATTTTTAGCCATTTTTAGGGTTTTTGCATAGTAAAGTGCATCGAGTGGCACACTTTGACCGCTAAATTAAACATCGAAAAATTAATAACTAATGAAAGACATTGATTCGGTTTATTCGAAAATCGCATGCGCATCAACTGATTTCAACTAATTCGCGAATTGCAAGCTTTTCAATATTGATCATTTTTATGTATTGCAAGTGCAATATATTTAGCCATTAATGACGTCGAAACTCTTACCAGATGAATCTACCGATATTTAACAATCATCTAAAAGAATTTGCAGAAGAAAGCGTCGTATATTTTAGAAGATTAAGGCAAACCCGTATCCTCTTAACCATACTAAAAAAATGAAAATTCAAAAAAAAAAAAATTTTGTTTTAATTCAAAAATTAATTTATTTTATTTTCCGATATCTTCATGTTTCTATTTGTTTTTCGCGACTATTAAACCGTATTTCAGTGTGATTTGACTAGTATGCAAAGAAAACAATAGTGTTTAAGTATTTGTGAAGAAATTCGCGAATTACAACGAATAGGAATCCATTTAATTTATATTTGAATTTGTGAACGCGAACAGATTTCGAATCAGCATATTTTTCTTAACCTATGTACCAAAAATCATAAATGTGCTCGGAAAAAAATTTTTCAACATTTTTTTAATGGAATTTTAAAAGAATTTTGTAATTTCCCATATGCCTTATATAAACCGAATAATGAAACCGGTGTGTAATGCCGAAGACATCCGCAAACCATAGGCTGAGAGTATATAACTGTCGGCGACACCAAATGACGCTTTTGACCCAATATTGATAATTATCAAGTTGCAGCATATATAAAAGCTTCAAAATCCCGAATATTGAATATGGAGACCAGCCTAAAAAGCATGTTTAAAATTTCAAAACTCTATCTAAAATATTGCGAGTTCTATCAATGATGTCAATCGGATGGACATTGAGGTGAATATTTCGATTTGTTGCAAACGGAATGACAAATTTAATATACACACCACCTTGTGGTGGAGGTTATAACAACTTAATAGAGTTTTATTGTTGTTTTTTTATAATTTAATTTTAAAGCTCTGTTTTTTTAAATACTATTACTGCTTATTTAATTAAATATCATACAACGGTTTTGTATGAATATTCGCCCTAGTCAGTGACTTAAAAATATTCTTCAATGAACTAGACAGCCAAACTAGTCTTCTAGCTTGGTTTGGAAACTGTGTCACAATGCACATTTTTCAGTGATTTGTGCATCTTCTTGTGCCTGTGCTCATATTTCTTGTCAAACATTGCAACAATGTTAATATATAAATAAATATATGTATATATGTACATATTCTTCAATACTATGTTAAATCTTTACACTTCATTTCACATCAGTCTCTCATGATTATAATGGTATATTTTAAGTCATCAATATACTACAATCCTCCAGCAAGCTTCGTCTCTCAACTACTGCAACTACTGCAATAGAATTTCCCCTCTATGTAATTATCAATGAATTTTCTTGCATTCGTCGAAGTAATCAAGGCATGAATGACTGCTGACTACTGACAGCAACGTAGCACAATGTAGATGAACTCAATTGAGAAGCATGCGATGTAAAAGAAAAATATTGATTACAATCGATATAATGACACGAAACTGTTCGAATCGTAATATAAATGAAATTCAATATTGGAGTTAATGAAAATGCAAAATAATTGCGTTGGATTTTTAAATAAGGGAAATATCTATGTACGTCGCACATAGGTGAATATTTAATTCACCAAAGGTATGACCTGATGCACTTTTGTTGGTAAACCTGTTGTTCATCAAGAAAAGGGTGTAATATTTTTGTTTGCGGCAAGTCAGTCAAACGGCCTGAAACTTATATGTATATCATTTGAAAGGTAACAATATTGCTAATCACATGGTTGGTTGATTAAAACAGGTACCAAAAAATTAGAGGTCCGGAACAGCCTCACGCGAATAAGTTGTATTACGTTTACGTTGACTGTTCGTCGATATATGGTTTTCTGAGCACAACGACTCTACATAAGGAAGGGTTTTTTACAAAACTATTCCTCATTCGATTTGATTGAAGACAATACATCTGAAAAATAACCCAGAATTAATAGTCTCAAACAAAGATATACAGCTTTTTTCATGATCTTTAGAGTTGCGAGCAAAAAAGTCATCACGCCATAACTAAAACTTTTGAGCTATGTCGAATTTTCCCTTCTTTGCTTTTTTATTCTCGCCAAGGGCTTTCATATTAATTTTTCATTCCCTGCCATTACTCGAGTGTAATAGACAATATCACCCAGCTAGCCAAGATATGACGATCGCAGTTACGGTCCGATTCAGTATAAGTTGATATGAATAAACGAATTAATTGTGACTGTTCCAACAACAGTCGAAGCATTTAAAGATTTACACAATAGAGGTTGATTGTTGTGAAAATCAATTCAAACTATTCTTATGGAATTTCTGATAATTAAAATATGTGTTAAAATGAAAAAAAAATCAATATGACACAATTGCATATCGCAAAAAAGTGTCAGTCCGTGTTGCCGACACTCTGGTAAACAAATATCCTGATATTTTGGTTTGCGGAGGTCTAATGATTTAGAAAATTTTTTTTATTAAACATGTAATTTTTCAAATTTGGAAGTCCAGTTTGTAGGGCACGTACAAGAATTAATGGACCTATGTAGCCGATTGTTAGACTATAGTATAAATATTAAGGTCTGTCAAGTTTAAACTACGGACAGACCTTAATATTTATATTCACTTTGAACACTTTGATTTCTATCAAAGAGTTGGCCGTCTTCTCCTGTCCGGAGAAGTTGCTCTATAGGTTCCATCTTCGGATTTAATATTGGTCTGGTAAGTAAGTATGGATCAAATCGGATACTATATTCGTTTCATATACAATTTACAAGTTTTTAAAATGTTGACTTTTTTATGGAGAAGGTACCAAATGGTTTACTAGATGTACAAAGTTGGGACTTTGAGCCAGTGAAATATTATAACAATGTGAGTCATGGTTTACAAATGTCACGAGGTTAAAGTCAAAATTGCATATTTTTGGAATATTATTTAACAAATGTTATATAACATTGAGAAGCTTATAAGATATTAGCATGAAATGACGGTCAATTAAACATATGGAACTGATGCTTATAATGAAAGTTAAAATTATTAGTAAAACCAGTGAGCGGAGCAGTATAGTCGGACGGGGCCGGCCATACGATACCCTACACAACTACCACAGAACTCTTACGTTCTGCGGATGTGTATTTCTAGCCTCGGCAATATTTCGTGATATTTGCACCCTTTTGACCAATAAGAGATCAACAGCACCTCTTCCTTACACTGACATATTTTCCGAATTTTACTAATATCCGGTAAAACCCTTCTAATTACTTGTCCATACTCCCTTCATCGTGGGTACTGTTGTGATGTTCGGCTTATAATTGTGGCCTATATATCGACTAGATAAAATACAAAAAATTGAAGTTTTCGGTCCACTCCATCCAAAAATTTTTATCTGATTATCACCAAAAATTATAGGCGTTGTCCTTGGCCATAACTGGAGCCTAATGGAACACTTCAAAGCGATCAGCGCTATATTTCCACCCACTAGTGTGATAATGGCTTACTAAATAATATCTGAATACGTAATCACCTGTAAATATTTGACCCGCTAAATATTGACCGATCTTTATCAAAACATGCATGTTTATTCTTTGGCCCGATCCCCTTGTCCATGTAAAATTTCGCGGTGTTTGGTCCATAATTGCGGCCTCTGGAGCGACCCGAAAATCAGACAAAAATTAAGTATTTGGTCCATTTCATCCCCAAACCTCAACCGATCATTACCAAAAACAATAGGGGTATCCATTGGCCAGAACCCATCTTACATGCAAAATTTCGTGAAGATTGGTCCATAACTGTGGCCTGTATCGTGTTTACAAATTATAATGGACAGACGGACGGACGGACACACATGTCTAGATCGACTCAGCTAGTCGAGATATAACGATCAGTATACTTAAAGGTGGGTCTAGGACCAATATTTCGCGGCGTTACAAACTCTTGGGCTGCACAATGCAATAATACCCTGACAACATAGTTGTGTAGGGTATAAAAATTGGAATTTAAAACTAATATATTTAAGATATAGTGTATAATAGAACATTTGAGTTTCAAAACCTAGTACCAAGCAATTCCAGAGTATATTTTAATGATCAATCGACTGCATGATATGTTCCAGAATTTTGCGACCGCCTGCGATCATTCATAAAGTTAAGAGTCATTACCGATAACACTGTGCAACACAAAAATATTTATCGGGAAATTCCAAAAAAGGGACTAAAAATATAAATCACGCGTATAGGCATTTTGAAAGTTTACGTCGGGAGGTAACCTAAAAAGGCATGGCAATATTTCCCATTTCCAAGACATTTGAAAATATTCGGATTTCTTAGATATCTTGAAATCCTTGCCATTGTCAATATTCATAATATAAATGTGAGGAATATTTTTGTCTCTCTGAAGAGGTCTTGAAAACTCATTCAAAACGGAATAGCAACAGGTCAGAATATTCTGCCTAAACGTCACAAATCTTAAAAATATGAAAACTCATTCTATGGTTAAAACCCATCTTATTCCGAGTTTGTGCCATTTTTTTCCACTATATATAGACGTCAATTTAGGACAAAAAATTCCAAAAATATTAAACACCTTGTAAAAATGTGTCAACATCTTCAATAAGACTAGATCTCATGAGTAGTCCGTCAAAGACAATCTTATTCTACATCGAATTTCACTATTAGTTAAAAAAGAAACGATGTTTGTAAATTCGATATTTATTTATAAAAAATGCTTCTATTTTATGTAAACGCTTCTATTTTATGTTTAAACCGCAAATTTTATATTTTGATCAAATTTCGCACTTTTTCCAAATAAATTAGAATACAATGTGATTTCTGTTTCCGCATCCAAATGACATCATTATTTAAGGGTAGATGCAAACAACATTTGGAAAAATTATACATAAGACACCTAACATGAAGGTCGCACACTCTTCAGGCAAATTAGTTTTAAGGCCAATATTGAAAAAAAATTGGCAAAACAAACTCTTCAGTTTTAATTACATTTACTTAATTGTAATGAGGCGGCTTCACCTTTTTAAAAATATTGACATTTTGTGAGAATATAAACACAAATGATAAGACATCAAAATCTAAAATTTTCAAAAAAAAACTCCATAATATCTTAGAAAAGCTGTATATGAAATTACACAATTATGGTATAAAAATGATATAAGATAATAAGATTATTTAACAATTTATTAACGAAATTTTATCCATAACACTGACCAGTTATTTATTATTATTATTTTTTTTTTAATAGAAAACCAACAACAACATTTTGTATGGCAAATATCTTTAGTTTTTGAATTTCACCACAAAAAGTTTCCATCAAACTAAGCATTTTTGCAGCTTCATTGCAATAAATTTCATTAAACACACACACTCAGAGACACAAACGAAAAGACACACCTTGAGCCCATCAATGCCATTAAGTTGCCCGGCTGTACAGCACCCGTCGAATTATTTATAATTCGCTTCATGTTATACAAACTGGCCGAGGAGCCATTTTCACCGGCTGTATAAACACACAAATCGCGCCAAACTATTGTCGCCCCCTGTTCCGTGGGTGACCATTTACTGTAACTGCGTAAGGGTAGACTACGCTCCGAACTGTTACGTTTCGAGACGGCATTAGAACTGCCGCTACCGTTGCCGTTCCCATTTATAACACTCATCTCAAGTTTGGCGCCACCACCCGTAGCAGCAACGCCTAGCTGTCGAGGATCTTCCATTTCTATTAAACTTTCCTCATTACTCATATCGCCGACTATTTAGTTTAGAAAAAAGAGTAATCTGATACACTTTTGCTAACTAGTCGCGTTGGGCAAGTAAGCGTCGGACGAACTTATCGGTTTAATGGCTGGCGAGAAACTGTTGAGCATTGTCATTGCAGTAACTAAAATGACACAGAGCGTATTGTTGTTTTTTTTCTTTTTCATCTTCTTGTCTTCTATTTCTGCTGGAAAGATGTGTCAGTGTGTGTGAATGTGGATCCTAAAGATAAGATGGTTAGACATTTGTGGCCTAGCTCTAAGTATCTCTATTTGTTTGTGATATGTTGTAGTTCAATGTTTTGTTAAAGGTAAATAGATGGGTAGTTACTACAATTGTATACCCTACAAACCCACTAAAAGATATACATTTTGAGCCTCCAATGTACATTTCTAAATTTAATAGCTCTCGCGGCTAACATTGTCTTACCTTATTATTATTGTTAACAATATACGGGCCATACAGAAATGTAATTTTTATACCCTCCCTCATAAGTGCATATTCCGTTTGTCATTCCGTTTGCTATACCATGAGTGCATACATCCAGAACTACGGAATTCCAGCAAATTTTATTGAGAATTTTTCCCGAAGCCCAAACAATTCTCAACTTTGGACTGATATTGATAATTTTTGTTGGCATGAGATGAATTTTAGGAAATTTTACCCAAAATCTCAAAACCCTAAAGCATGCACTAATATTGATATTAGTAAATGGGTCAAAACTACTCTAATTTGTCAGGGTCCGTCGGCATTCACTCAGTATTCGTTTAGCGCTTCGGCAACTGCATCAGTATGAATGCTATTCCGACAATTTGATCCAGAGTATCAGATCCTTCCTGACACAACTGGGAGGGGGAGTATTATCCACCATATGATGTTTAGGATGATGATTGATAAGGATTTTTCCCATTCAAAATCTCAAAACTCTAAAACATGGACTAATATTGATATTAGTAAATGTATTCGTTCAGTGTTTCGGCAACTGCATCAGTATGAATGATCCTTCCTGACACAACTGGGAAGGGAGTCTTATCCGCCATATGATGTTTAGTATGATTGCCCCTGAAGCACCCGAGCATGTACTGCAATGATAGCATATTTTTATGCTGAAGTAAGGATCTTCGTCTCGTCATGAAGATTGTCCACTTGTATCATGAGGAAGAACCCTGTTGCAGTTCTCAGGGCGGCGTTCTGACAGGTCTGAATTCTTCTCCATTGCGTAACACACTGGTACCGCATAGCTAGCCACAGTCGAACATATCGCTTTGTAAGAGGTCAACAAGGATTCCTTTCTGTGTCCCAAGTACTGCCGACAAACGACTTGAGGGCCTTTTTTAATTTTCAACTGGTTTGCGCGGGCTTCAACTCCGGACCCGTCGAACTGTTTCAGCATAACCATGGATATTCCGTCAGGGTCCAACACTTTAGATGACTTAGCACCATTGTAAACTGTGGTGGTACCTACTCTACGGGAAGAGATCATATAAGATATAGCACCTTTCGCACTGTTCTCTCGGGATGTTCGACAAACTGTCGATTAAAATAAATAAATGTGAATAAGGCCCTACCATCCTTCTTATCAGGGTTCAAGAGCGACTTGTCCCTTGTCCACTGTTTACTTACATCTGTTCTTGTGCTTCAACTATTTATTCTGCTTATGCTCCGCGACTAGGTTAGGTTAGGTTTGGGACGTGCAGTCACTATGTGGCTGCAGCACTCTGAGACCGGTTAGGTCCGTTGTGATCATCCACAAGAAGAGATATAGTGAAGAGAAGAGACAAAGACAGATCTGTAGGGGAGAGAAGATTATGGAATTGAAGGAGAGTTGAGAATCTTACATAATTAAATGAAGGAGGAATGAAGGTCGATGGCTATAGGAGTCAGGCAGAAGATATGTTACATGTCAAGGTTGTATGTTCCTAATCACTTTATGTTTCTAATCATGCTGTAGATTAGAGCAGGTTCGGTTGTTGAGAAGAAGCTGAGACTCGGTAGAAAATGAGCACCCACTATTCTATGCCGCCTGTAAGCCAGGGCTGGGCAATGACACAGGAGATGCTCAATTGTCTCCGTTTCCTCCTCGTCAACACAGAGTCTGCAGTAATCAATTACATAAAGATCCCTGATGTTGCAGTAACCAATAATGATTCCTGTCATCACTCTAATTTCAGCTTTGCTCAGGTTCAACAGTGAGTGCGTTCTTTTGGTAGACGGAGTCGACCAAATGGATCTTGGCTCGTTGCACCTATGTTCGTTGTGCCAAAGTTCACAGGCTCTTTCGTCAAAGAATGCCTCAAAATTCCGATAAAAAAGACATATGGGTGGTTTGATTGAGTCATCAGTTTCTAGATCGGTGGATTGAGATCCTCGTCACAATGTCCTGGTACCTAACACAACCGATAGCTATAGGTAAGTTCTTCCAGAGCTGCTCTACACTTGAGGACGGCTTCTGATTTGATGTAACAAGATTTGATGGCTTTAAGAGCCGCTTGACTATCCACAAAGATACTCACCGGTTCAACGACCTCTGCATCCAGACTTTTTATCAATTCCGCTGCCTTCCAGATCGCGAAGATTTCAGCTTGGAAAACACTACAGTTGCAATCCAGCTTGTAGGTTAACTCAAGGCCTAACCTTTCACAGTAGACTCCTGCCCCAGTACCTTCTTCCATCTTGGATCCGTCTGTATAGAAGGCCAGACCGTCCAGAAGAGGGTTACTTCGTTTCCAGTCGTCTCTACTAGGAATAACGACATCTACATTGTCAAATCTCAGGATTGGTGATATATAGTCGCTTAGTTTAGCACGTTGGTCCAATGCCATACCTGGTTCATTCAGAATACTACCATTCCCAAAGGTACAGTTCCGCCAGAGTTTTTGTTTATGCAGCCTTAGGGCACTACGCGCGACCTGACACTTAATGCTGAGGCCCAGAGGCTTGAAGTACAGCATTGCGTTCAGAGATGCTTGTGGCGTACTCCTTCTGGCTCCTGTAACTAAAATCGCGTCGGCTCTTTGTACCTTGTCTTATTTACTGGATGTCGACTTGAGGCTCAGACAGTTCCACCAAACAAGAGAACCATAGGACAAGATGGGCCTCACCACAGTGTTATACAGCCAGTGTATAGTCGATGGTTTTAGCCCCCAGCTTTTCCCAATGGAGTTCTTGCATGCATAGAGTGCAATCATCCCTCTCTTAGCCCGCTCCTCAACGTTCCTTTTCCATCATAGTTGACAGTCCAGAATTGTGCCGAGGTACTTTGCTTCGGGAGAGAGATGAAGTTACAATCCATCCATTGTTGGTGGAGCAAAAACGCCGAGCTTGCGCTACCAGTTCCGTCTTCGTTGGATTTACACCAAGACCATTTGCCTTGGCCCAGCGTGACAGCGTCAGTAAGGCTCTTTGCATAAGCTCCGAGAATGCTCCGCGACTAATCGGCTGACCTCCAACGTGACCCTGGGATATGCTGGGTGAGATCGACGAAACTCACCAGGCTAATTTGCTAGACCAACTGCTTCTGCAGGGAAATTAGGTCTAAACTCGGGTATTCGACCAGCAGGTATAAATCTAGAGGCTGCAGCTGCAATGATGTTCCTGAAATTCCTTTCTACTACCCGTGCATCGGAAGGAATTAAATGTTCTCTGAAGCGCTGCTTGGTGAACTCTCTGAATCTTTGCCAGTTGGCTTTTCTATGGTTAAGGAAAGTGCAGCGTTTAGAGATGATGAAATCGAGCGGTCTGCTTATGTAGATAGTTATGGGGAATGTTACTGCAATTAATTTACAGAAACGATGCACCGTCAGGAGTAGAAACAGCAACGTTTGGTGTTAAATACTGAATATTGGGTTACTGTTGAGTAGACTGCGGTGGAGTTCCGTACTCCGAAGAAGATCACTTCGTGAACAAAAATTTGGTGGGGATTGCGCTATAGCAGAACGAGACAACGTAATCCTGTTCGATATAGTCTGTCTGGAAAAAAATCCTGAAGTGCACCCATTAAATATCACCTACACCTAAATGATGTTCTGGCAAACCGAACATAACATCGATCGGGGGTTTTGTTCGATCCCTACACGCACCAAATGTATCCGAAGCAAGCATGGACAATAATAATTTGTTTATTGATTTCTAGTAGTTCTAGCAATTCCTGGCAAATTTTACCTATCGGAAGGAAGTTTATAAAAATAATGTAATTTTACTAACTGAGCATAACAAACCCCGCTTATGTTTTGGGTAGCGATATTTGCTTTTATCACTAGATTGCCGAAGGCGGTCATTTTGACCACATTTCAACACGCAATTCGATGTGGTACAAAAAGTCACCAAATTTTTTTAAAAAAAAAGTGTCTTTATATGCACAGTTGTTTTTGTACTTGAAATTGAAAAACGGCCAAAATGACCGCCTTTGGCAATCTAGTGTTAAATAATAATCCAATACAGCCAAAGGATACGTAGTCGAGCGCAAAAGTCGATTTTTATATTTTACGATTTTTGACACGATTTCGGCCTTTGACTAAATGGTAGACTTTTCGATCATTCGATTTTATCAAACTTGTTGTACATCGACTTTTACAGATCGATTAAAAATTTGATAGAATGTGTAATTTTTGGGTAATATGGATTTTCTGATAATAAACCAAGTATTTATGAAGCAAATTGAAAGTCGATCTTGAAAAGTCGACCATGCGATTTCCTCAAAAGATCAAAGGTCGACTTCGACTTTTAGACTTTTCAATACAAATTAATCGATTATTAGAAAGTCAATTTACCTTTCAATAATATCACCATATTCCAGCCAATTTGGCTATTCCAAACAGTGGACCGATATATCCCATTTGCAATGCCAAATATGCCAAAAGTATTAGCTGTCTTTCTTAAAAATTTTAATGTTTATGATTTCATCCGACAGACAGATATAAGGGCATGGCTAATTCGACATCGAATTTTATTCGTCCGGACGCAACGACTACGTTATACAAAACCTGCT